ATGGTTCATTCTCTTAAAAAACATAATTATCCCTTAAACCACTATTTACACCAAAAGTAAAAGGAAAAAAACTATAGCAGATCTCCCTTCTTATCAATAATGAAAACATTATTCTTCAAAAAAAGAAAATAGCCATAATGAAGTATTAAACCATGAAAAAAAAAAACTAACTCACTAACATGAATAAAAAATAATTAAACAACTTACAGTACCTTTTGTAATTCAGCAAAATAAATAATTCATTCAATTTTTGTTCATCAATAATAAAAATATTATTACATTACAAAATCACCCAAAACTTCATATTGACAAAAAACCAAAGAAAAAAAAAGAGAAAAATGAATTATACCTAAAAATTTAAAAAAAGATTTTCAATTTTTGGGTGAAGAAGATTAAGAAGGTGGCCAAACACTAATTTTTTCCTTCTCGTACTTAACAAACAATGCCGTAACCACCGCCACAAAATAAATATAAATTAAAATAATCGCTAGCATATGATAACTTATCACGCTTTTACCCGTAGCCAATTCCACCAAAACCAAAGTGGTCAACCTGAGAATCTTGATTCACTCGTTAAGTCTCTCATTGTATAGGCTAAATCTAAAATCCACTTTTAACCCATTTGAAATCACTTCTTTTAAAGGCACCGGGGTGAGGTAAACAGAGGAAGAAGAAGAAGTGGATCCAGATTTCTTTGATTTTTTAAGCTCTACTTTTTTGCCGATTCTGTTCGGCAATTGAGGCGAACTTGGGAGAGATGGGATTTGAATAGGTCAGCATCAGGCAAGGTGAATGAGAAAGATGGCACAGGTTTTAATGAAGAAGAGTTTGAGTCCATAGTGGCATGTGATATGAAAGAAAATAGGGGTTTGGGTGGTACATGCACGAATGCGTGTGCGGATGGAAAAAAGTTGTTGCTAGTTTGGGAGATTAAATTGGTGGTGGAAGTGCTGCTGACATTTTCGGTGGTTGTTTTGTTCTTCACTTCAGTTCTCTCTGTGACGGATAAGAAATCGAATCTTTTTTTCTTCTTTTTCTTAAAAAAAATTATTTATAGTGTTTAATTTTTTATTTCTCTATATATATTTTTTGTGAGTAAAAATATTTTAATTTTTGTAAGGTAATAAATTTTGAGTGGAGGATTATTTTTGGGGCTAAATTTTTAGTGTACAATAGCAAGCCCAATTAGATTTGAGTTTGCTAAGGCCTAATGCTTTCTTATCCATTTATTAAAAGCCCAACTAAATTTGTGTTTTATAAAATTTGAAATTGAATAGAGTTTTAAAAAATGGATAACTTCATAAATATATTATATGGTTAAGGTCGAAATAAAAATACCCATGAGATTTAAAATATGATATTTAACTACCCTATGATTTGTTTTATTGTTTTTTCTTCAAAACTATTACTTTTTCCTTTTCTTTTCATTTTTTTTTTCTTTCTTTTTTATCTTAATTCATATTCTTTTTCTAAAAATTTATTTTCTCTCTCTAAAACCAAATCAATTCTCTCTCTAATGATTTGGTTTGGTTTTAAAGAATTTGTTTGGTTTTAGAGAGAGAATGAATTTGCCAATCCAAAAACTCAGTCAAAGCCATTTCCAACAAATAGTATTTTTGATTCAGCAAAACCCAAACAATTAAGCAAACAGAGGCAAAACGCAAACAAGCATAGAACCAAAGAGAAAAATTTTGGGTAGTGAGTAATCTCAAACAATTCAATAGCTAGTACTCATTTGAATTCAATAACAAAAATAAAAAAATCAGTAAGCAATTCAAAGCCAAGAATTGTTGGGCAGATCATCCAAGAATAAAGTCCGGAGAGGGAATAATCGACATAAGGAGAGACGTTGGGGAGGTTGAAATCATCTTTGATAATCACAGTTCTAGTAGCCATCAAGTATGTCCATCGAGACATTAGCGAAAGAACCGGAATGAAAAAGTGCTTCACTGCGCATATGCGACAACCGGCATATCTAAAATGGACTTTCTAGAGACCTTCAACGACCAATCCTGGCATGAATTATTAGGAACCAATAAGTCCAACATTGATTCGTTTAGATGTGTCAATTGGGCAAATGCGGCTATAGTGATTATGATGGATATCTCATATTCGAAAATTAGCAGTTCACTTGGTGAATCCTTTAAGGCCCAAATAACTCAATTTTTTCCCATGAGCTATTTGTGTTAATGGATTTGTTTGATCCAAAACTTGAGACAACAGGTGTAATCCAAAAAAGGATTCATAAGTGGTTGTTAATGGAGTTGAAGTTACCAAATTCTGAGGAGTCGGTATCAATTTATGCCTAATTGCGTCGCATATAGTTCCTCTAACTACATTTTCTAAATGAACCACAGCCAATTAACTAAACCTAGAAAAGATGAATTTGACAGTGTAAAATCAACAATCACCCATCGTCAAGCAATCATAGACACATAAATTAGCAGCAAAACACCTACAAAAAAATTGAAAACAAAATAAAAAGTTTTCATTATAAAAATTTTCAATATTTTTTTGGTTATGAGGTTCTTCTTTTTGGGGTTTTGAAATATAATAAAAAAAATATTGTTTTAAGGTTCTTAAGTGGTAAACAGTGGTAGGGATGATTTGAAAGGTTTTGGATTTTGGTTTGTCTTAGAGTTCTTAAATAGAGAAGAAGGTAATGGTATCTTTTATCAGATATTGAGTTTTGCTTGGTATTGGGCAGATAAAGAAAGAGAGGAATGATGACACACAAAGGAAAAAGGATGCCAAGGCCGACAATTAATGGCGAAGCAAGTGGTGGTTTTTTTACTAATTTTTGGGTTTTGTTTTTGAGTTTAAAGCTAGTAGAGAAAAGTTAGAGAGAGAATTGGTTTGATTTTAGAAAGAAAATGAATTTTTAAAGAGAGAATATGAATTTTTAGAGAGATAATATGAATTGAGATGAAAAAGAAAGAAAAATAATAATAAGTAACAAAAATAATGGTTTTAAGTAAAAAATAATAAAGCAAATCATAGGGTAATTAAGTGTCACATTTTAAATCTTAAAATGCACTTTCATTTTAGCATTAATCACAGGAAATATTTCTGAAGTTAATCCTTTAAAAAATTAAAGCAAGTTAATTAAAACAAATTAAGAAGGAAAGAAGATTACAAAATATCAATTATATTACAAGTCCACAACTCAAAATCGAACAGTTTGCAAAATCTAAATTATGGATTACCTCTCTTAGAATTTAAGATTTGAACATAATAAAAAATTTGAAACAAAATTAATGCTAGAGGGATTTCAATTAAGTCATTGACTAAAAAAAAAAAGAAACTAATATGTAACAAAGGAAAAAACAAAACCAAAAAGAGTAAATGAAAGGGAAAGAATATCAAAACACCCATCTCTATCCCAAAAAACCTTGTCTTTTATCAACTTATCTACAATTATACCCTACTTTTCATTAGAAATGATAATAATAATATCAAATATCAAAGAAAGTTTCTTTTCATCTAAAAGAAAAATAAAGATAGAATATCAAACCCTAAATTCGCTAAAAGAATCCTTAATTAGTTTATATATATATATGAAATTTTGGGACACGTTTTCCTATAACTAAGGTGCATAGAAAAAATGTGGTTCAATTGCTTGGCACTCAGCCTAATTAGTTGGTGAGTTTTTGTCCTTAATTATTGGAAATGCATGTGATGCAAAAAAAGGACCTATCAAGCAGACCCATGTGACACTAGGAAAACTTAGTCTTAGAAGTATAGCGATAAAATTCAGTATTGAACCATATTAAATAGTGGCAAAATTGACTAATCTAATCCCTTTTTCTTGTTTAACTTAATGTTTTTGCCCTGCAAATTCATATGAGCATTTAAAACAATCTTGTTAAACATAGTAAAATAGCAGCAACACATGCAATAAATGTAATTAATGAATACACTACTTGTAAGGCAATATTTCACCGGTTTTCAAAGTTGGATGCCTTGCATTGATGGCCAACAGGAGACTGGTTTAATTTCTAGCTAGTAGTAGTTCTTAAAAAAAGAAATTAAAAAAAAAAACAATTTCATTTATATCTTTGCAATTTCTTGTTGAGCAAAGATTGGACCTAAGGATTAAAGAATATAGAAGTGAAAAAAAAAAAAAAAGTAAACCACGGAAACTCTGAGAAAAAAAGGCAACAGTATGGCCTTGACGATTATTTTGTGTGTCAAAAGAATAGATAAAATTAGGCTACCAAACTGAATAAATGGCAATTCACAGCTTGAATTTAGAATAGAAAAGAAACAGTTTCAAAAGTACTTCCTTCATCTAAGCCTGAACAAAAGCCGAGAAACTCAATTTAAATTGGTGAACAAAAGTCAACGTGAAAAAGTCTATTTTTCAGCATTTTTTTCAACTAATAATTCTCAGTTTCTCACTTTTTATATGGGTCAGATTGTTCATTTTAGGTGTTGATTGGATTTGAAAATCATTGGTCAAAACTACTATAAGACTCCTAAGTGATTTGTATATTTTATGCCCTCCACTCCATATATTTATTTCTAAAAATCTCTAGTTTTTTTCATCCGAACATTTGACTCATTTGTTGCATAATCTCTGCTCAAAAAGTAGGATTCGGAACTTCCCACCCCAAATTAAAAAAAAAAAAAATAGTTTTGACCAAATGTTGACTACATGTTATTTTTTATATGATGCGAAAAAGAACAGCAAAAAGTTCTTCAACGAAAGCGAAACAAACAAATTTAAAATTATCTTTTACGTTGAATTTGTTTACTACTTGTATCTAAAGCAAAAGCCATGCAAAAACCCAAGCAATATATATATATATATATATATATATATATATATATAAAGCAAAAGCCATGAAAAAAAAAAAAAACATAACAGTTGAAATCCAATCTTACCATTAGTTTCCTAGAGAATGGAAGTTAATAAGTTGAGAATTATTTCACAACAATTAATAAAAGAAATTACAAAGATTTAATGAATGGAAAATTATTTCCCATTTAATATATGCAACAGTTTTACACCAGAATCTGATCAACTCATCTTTTAACAAATCCAATTGAAGAAGTTAAACTAAAAAACATAAAGAAACACACAAATAACGTCCTTACACCAACCGCTGTCTTAATTTCTCACCATTTTTTTTCATGTTCTCTTGTTTTTGCTTCCCAATAACAAAGAGAAGTAAAACAAAATCCTGAACAAGAAACCCCAAGCCACAGTAATCCACAAGCAATTCCATTTGCTCAAATCTGTTATCCCCTCTTGTTTTAAAATATCAACTCCTGTTGTCAAGCATGTGGAGCTTGTAATCCTCATTCCCAAAGTATTGCTTAATGACTGCAACAATCTCACTTTCATGGGGCCTGGAACAGCTCCAAGTGGTGTATTTTCAAAAATCTGAATCCCTCTCACAAAACATTTTGTGGGATTATCAAATTCGTTTTGTAAAACTGCTTCATAAGGGTATTTGACTAGGGATAAGTAATGGAACCAAATCCAATAGGCCGGGATTCGGTCACGGTTGATAAAGAAGCCGCTGAAGAGCAAGAAATAGGCTAAAATAGCAACAACTATTGTGTACCCTAACATCACATGTGGAACAACACCAGATAGAAATGTGACAAATGAACTTCCAGACCAAAATGAAGCAAACATGATTAAGAAATAGAATAGGAATCCTGAAAATCCACCATCAAGGCCTACTGCCCAAAAGGTTGTCGCCGCAAAAGCAAATGAGAGGAAAATTAGTCCCGGTAAAGCTACCAAAGCATTTGATATAACATAAGATAATCTCCTGTAAGCATTGTAAGCAGTTTCTCTCATGAAAATGTACCTTTCTTGGAGAAAAACTGGGAGAGCGTCGGCACAAGTGTAAAACGTCGTTGACATGGCGAAAGCGAAAAACCCTAGTCTTTCTTGTACCCCTTTTGGTGAATTATCAAGCTGCCAAAACATCGTTGCTAAAATGAACCCCGTCACCAAAACAGCTCCCAATCGGATACCGAACAACTCTGGCATCCTCCTCGAATTCAAGATTGATCTGTTTGACAGAACCAACATTTCTTTCCAAATGGGATTTGCAAATCTTGGAACCATGGAAGTTGAACTGACATCATCGGTAGCACCTGAAACAAGTTTACCTCTAGAAATGCTGGCGCTAATTGCTTCTTTTAGAGACAAACCGAGCCGGTCTGGCTCAGAGTCTCTTGTATACTTCATGCTTTGCCATGACTTGTTGAATTCAACCAAACTTTTTGTTCCTCCAGGAGATCCTTCGAGTTCCCTGATTAAGTCGAGAGCAAACTCAGTTCTGTTCTCGTTCTCCGGTATAGGATGCCCAAATTCGGAGAAATATAACGGCAGACTCGTCGGTGAACCACTGTAAACAGTTTGCCCACGAGACAAAAATATCAATCTGTCAAGCAATCCAAGAATTCGATAACTTGGCTGATGAACTGACATTATAACAATGCTTCCACTCTGAGCAATCCTCTGCAAAACCTTCACCACCATGAAAGCACTGGTCGAGTCAAGCCCTGATGTAGGCTCATCCAAGAACAGAATAATGGGGTCATGAATTATATCAATTCCAATAGATACACGACGACGCTCTCCCCCGGAAACCCCTCGATGACCTTCGTCACCAATAACAGTTTTGGCTGCGTTTCTTAAGCCTAATTGGTCAATCAAAGCTTGAACTCGCATTTTCTTCTTGGATTTGGACAAAGTCCGAGGAAGCCGAAACTCGGCAGCAAACATTAAGGTTTCTTCGACAGTAAGCATTGGGAACAGCAAATCATCTTGCATAACATAAGCTGAAATCACTTTCAACATTCGCGACTCCAAAACTTCGCCGTTTAAAGTCACATTCCCTTTCAAACTCCCTTTAGCTATTCGATTAGCTAAAGCGTCGATGAGTGTCGATTTCCCAGACCCACTCGCTCCAAGCACGGCTAGTATCTCTCCATCTCGAGCCTCCCCGGAGATATCATTAAGCAACGTCTTCGTTCTGGTAAAAAAACTATCTCCATCAAGTGGGTTTCCGGAGACAACGGAAGCGGCGGCGCTTCTGTCCCTCCGTCTCAGGAACCCCGGCATGGGCATCTTGCGACGAACCTTCACACTATAAGTAAGGTAGTTAAAGGAAAGAACAAATGGCATCGGCCGCCGCTCAGTGTCGTCGACAAGGATTTCATGGACCGGAGTTTCGTCGCCAGTGGCTTCTTTCCGTACATCGCCGACGCGTTTAAGTAATTGCCCAAGCGTTTGAGAAGCTCCAGTAGCGGCTGAGAATTCACCGGCAATAAGCTCCATTGAGTGAGGGAAAAACTGGGAAGAATTATTATTATTATCCGACGATATATTTTCGGCTACAATACGAGACATTATGGGTTTTTTCCCCTTTTGCGTGAAAATATCAGCTAAACAACGACGGTTTTGTGCTATTTCTAAGAGAAGGAAAAGAAGAAGAGGAATAAGGGGTCTCTGCTTTTGGGTATTGGGGGTTTGGAGAATTCTATTATATATAGGAATTTAAAAATGAATGTGAAAATGTTAATCGTTAAGGGATTAAATTGGCATTGTTATTGATTAATTAATAATTTATTATATTATTATTATTATTATTATTATTATTATTATTTTCTTCGTGCTGTTTCAACTGGGTGCATGATGACAGAAAGGTTACCTAAATCATCTAATCTGAAATCTATACGTTTCTCCCTTCTTCGTAGTGGACACGTGGGCGGTTATGATGATGTTGTTAGGGTTTTGCTTGTCAGTGATGACACGTGGCAAATAGGGGGGTGTTATTTTGAGCGCGGGCGAATTAGGTGGGGTGTTTGATCTACTGTGGACTAAACAAAGTTTAGTCCAAGAGGATGGCTAATGTTTAATGGATTTTGATGTTATAGCTGGACCATGTTTAACGGTTTAATCAAGGGTTTAAAGTTTAATCATTTTACAATATTCCAACATTTGATTAAATGATTATTATAAATTTTAATTTAAACTTTTTAAATTAAAAAATTGAATAACTTTGCTACGTGAATCAAGATAAATAATAGCAATTAAAATGTAAATTAAAAAAATAGTTTACTCGTGATTAAGGTTTAATTGTTTTAGAAAACATAGCTCACAAGAGAAAACATAATTAATTTTGACATGTGTAGTGTATTTGAAAATGGAAAGCAATAATTTAATTCTATGAGCTATTATTGATCAAAGTAGAGTTTGGGAATTTAACTCGAACTTCAAAAGACAATTTTAATGCATAAGGATTGGAATTTTATAGGAGCATTAGTTGTTCTTAAAGTTGGCATTGAGGTGGGTTTTGTTCACTCCAAATGCGATTCGATTTTTTGTGTTATCAAATTCGAATTCGATTTTATTTGAATTTTTTTTTGTTTTTTCATATCCGAATTCGACCTCGATCTGATATTATATAAATCGTATCCGACTCGATCCAAAATTAATAAAATATTTTTTTTAAATATAAAATATTTTTTAAAAAATATAAATATTTAAAAATACCATTATATAAAAATATATATATAAATAATTAATTAAAAAATAATTTTTTATATAATATCGGGTCAGGTCGGATTTGCTTAAAACCCGACTCCGACTCCGACTCAATCCGAAACCTAAATTTCGAAAAAAAAAATTGACCCCATAGGATCGGATCGAGTCGAAACTCGTCGATAATTAGTTAAATTGCCGACCCTAGTTGTTCTTGTTAAATATAATTCCTTTTCAACATTTCTTGGATAGTGTTACATGTTCAACCACAATTCTAAAAAGATAAGTCTACTTCTAAAATTAGTAAAATTATCAGCAATTAGGTGGGTTCATGATTTCTTGCTTTTATTTTATCTTCTCTTTTAGAAAAATGTTATTTAATGTTCAGAAATGGCAAACAAACCACTTAACTTAATTGAATGTAGCATGAAAAAGTGTTGTTAAGCTAATCTTAGCATATTATTCCATTTATTATAATATTATTCATTATTTTACCAACGTAATGTGTACTTCGTTTTTAATAGATATTTGCCAAAAAAATCTATAAATTTAGAATTGTTGGTAAATCAAACTTTTAAGGACTTTGCTCTCTAATTTTGCGAATATTACAAGCCTCTACAATCTCCATATATATACACATTTCTTAAGGTTTTTTTTCATTTATCTCAAAGGAATATATCAAATGTACATAATTTTCCTCGAGCTATTAAGAAAAATCAATTGTATTCCTTTTCAAACGACTTTTTTTTTTTCTTTTTGGTTCATATATTTATGAAAATTCAAAATTTAAACTCCATATAATAATTTGTAAAAATTTAATCTCAATAGTTTTCAAGATAATGGTAGTACAAAACATAATAAAGTTACAAAATTACTGCTAAGTTAACACGACAAATATTTTACCATATGAGCTGGTTTTTACACAACAATAATTTTAAGGAACTTTTTGCTATGTGGTTTGTACACAATAATTAAAACATAATTCAAAGTGAAGTAGCCAACTTTTTCGATGTGTGATTTGTACACAACAAAATAAGAAAAGCATAAATTGTTTAAATGCCAACAACATATTTAATAATTAACCTATTGTGCACAATGCATGACAAAATTTGCATGGTACTTAATATTAACTTCACGAATTGTAAAAGCACCCTGTTTTAATTCTCTATACATTAGGAATTATTGTGTATTTTCCAACAATCAAGAGCTTAATTTTATTGAAAAATAATGTTTAGTTTAGATGATAAAGATGGATTGAAGCTTATAGCAGAAAATCGTATGTTTATAGATAGGTGGTTAATTCATACCTAAACAATTTTAAAAAAAAAAAAATCTCCTTTTGAAGTCTAAAATTGCAATGCAGAAGGACAAAACTTCTTCTTTCCAGAAGCAGAAGATTTTCAAAAACTTTAAATATATTCATAATTCAAGATAAAATCAGTTTAAAAGACAAAGAAAGTTTAATTTTCTGATACTCAATCCTTGCCCCTCAAAAGGGAAAATGGACAAAAAATTTTTTGAAAAACCAACAAATTGAAGAAAAAAAAGCAAATATATTTTTTTCTCTTTGTGAGATGGGGGACTCTTTGGTTGTTAAATGTAGATAAGCCACCTCTTCTTACCAAAAAGCAAGCTAACTCGTACCTACAAATGAAGGCTGTGGAAATGATATTTTCTAAAATTTTCTTTGAAGTAAAAAAAACAAAAGATTTGGGCATAAATAATTGTGAATATCAGCATGGGAACGAGGTATCTGCAGCATGATTCTCAAACTGCTTAAGTCTGTTTTCTTTCACCAGCATATTTCAATGGGTGGAAACAGCTGCATTGCAGCATTATTCTCAACTGCTTAAGTCAATGTCTCTGTTTTCTTTCACCAGCAAAATTCAATGGGTGGAAACAGCTGCATTGTTATATGTCTGTGTTGTCCACGAAACATTTTTCTCTTCAGGTTCCTGTAGATGCATCTTATAAATATTGATTTTATTTATACAGGCGGTGCCAAATATCGGTCAACTTACATGCATACGATTCGGTTCTCATTCAAACCTTTGATTAATCTAATTCAGACAATTTATGTTTTAATATCATATCTAGTGTCGTGTTGACATGCATAATGGCATAAATTATTAAAATAAAAATACAATATAAATTATAAAATGTGTTTAAATTCTCAATAAAAACATGACATATTTATTATACGTATTATATGTGACATAATATGATTAATACATATATAATTTATCCATTTAAATACAACACGAATAAACATGAAAAGTATAAATATACACAAATAGATACAACTAATATGAATATACATGAATAAATATGACTAATACAAGCATATATATATATATATATAAACACGACTAAAATAATAAATGACTATAAACTATCCATCATTTATAATTAATAAACTTGACATATTAATAATATAAAAAAATACTTACATATTAAAAAGAATACAAAAATTTGATACACATTCAATATGTATTTAATATATATTATATTTAAATTTTAATATATATTACATAACTATATTATATTTAAAATAATGAACTATTAAAGATTAAAAAATAAAATAATGATGTATAGGACTAGTATTAATATTTATATTATATTTATATTATTAATATAAAAAAAATTTATAATAATTATTAAATGAGTATCATAATTAAATATCTAAAATAATCTTTACATGATATTGAATAACTAATTATGTATCATAATTAAAAAATTAAAAATTAAAATAATTTTTATATGTTTATATTTAATTAAAATAAATATAAAAAATATGTTAAACTTGTTAAATGTATTAAATGTATACTCATACAACAAGATTGAACAAAACGTGTTTTTTTGTGTCATCTCACATATTAAACGTATATTCATGTAATATGTTTTATCTAAATGTGTTTTTCATATCTTATACATATTTAAACGTGTCAACAAGTATAAAATATGAATTATGTCGTGTCAAAATTTGTATTGACACTAATAAACACTGTTATAATGTCTAAATCTGAGGATCTATCGCTAAACATTGACTTAAGGAGTCACCACCAATCTTTTTTTATTTAGGTGCGATTGGCTACCTAAGGAATCTATTCTTTCAAGGAACACCTAAGTTTAAGGGTCCTTAAAAGAATAGATTCGGGTTTGTTAACCATAACAGGATTCGGGAGTACGATTACGTGTGAGAAATATTATAGCACTCTCATAACGCCCATCAAAAGAAGATACCAGCTTAATTTTATGTTATCCAATAAGCCTTAAAATTTATCAAGTAATTAATTATTGGAAACTATTCTCAATTGACTCTAATACTTTTAGTAGAAAATTAAAAAAAATTTCTCACCTTAAGAGCATGTAAGAGAACTACTGTTTCACTTACAGAGGCTTTATCGTTAGATTATTTAACCTTAAAAAAAATTCAAGAAACAAAAAGGAAAAGAAATAAAATGAAAAAAGAATAATGATTCAGCTTTAGATATAAACCATTTTCTCTTCAAAAACTCATTGCTTTTGTACAAGAAAAATTGATACTTTCAACATTTCCTCAAAAGCATTTAGGGAATTTTTATTTTAAGAAAAATTGATACTTTTAACTTTTCCTTAAAATGTTTTTTTTTAAAGAAAATTTGATATTTTCAACTTTTTCTCAAAATGTTTTTCTGAAACTTTAATTTCGAGATGCTTTCAACTTTTCTTCAAAAATATTTTTTTAAAAAATTATTTTTAAGAAAAATTGATACTTTCAACTTTTTCTTAAAAATATTTTTTAAAAAATTTTATTTTCAAGAAAAATTGATACTTTCAACTTTTCTTCGAAAATATTTTTTAGAAAACTTATTTTTAAGGAAAATTGATACTTTCAACTTTTCCTCAAAAAATTTTTTTAGAATTTTATTTTAAGAAAATCATAAAATAAAATAAAAAACTAAAAATACCAAAAATTTCTAATATAATAATAATAATATAAAAAAGAGAAAAAAACCTTTGGAACGGCTCGGCTCGGCTC